TAAGGCTCCCTAAGCTTCCCTAAGGTTCCCTAGGTACCCTCCTGAGTACCCTAGGTACCCTAGGCACCTTTGGTAGCCTCGGTACCCTAGGTACCCTAAACCCTAAACCCTAAACCTAAACCCCCCCCCCCCCACATGAACCCTTGAACCCCCCCAAGAACCCTACAAGAAGAAGACCACTGGGATGGTCCCAGGCTCTTGGACAACATGGCGGGTCTCTCCCAGGCAGTCTCTTCAGTATACTGGTTGTAGTAGTACCTGGGGCTCTCGTTTTTCTTACAGGGTTTTATGGGTTAGAATTAAGGGGGGGGGGGTTGAATTCAGGGTTTAGGGTTTTTAGGGTTTTAGGGTTTTGGGTTTTGGGTTTTTAGGGTTTTCGGTTTAGGGTTTTTGGGGCTTCTAGGGTTTAGGGCTACTACCAAACTGCAGGCAAATAGAGTTGCCAGGTACCTTTTGCCTGTCTTTGGGTCGCTGTACTCGACCCAGTCGCACTTCACCAGTTCCGCGGGCCTCTCCCAGAACGTCTGCTTGGTCAGCTTGTTGCAGTAGAACCTTAGCTAGGGTTTTAGGTTTAGAGTTTAGGGCGTAGGGTTTAGGGTTTAGGGTTACTAAAGAAAGCAAAGCTCCGCTGTACGAGCGGAAGCGGAGAAAACAAAACACTCAAGACACCAGCCTAAACCAGCCTAAATCTTAAACCCTCATCTTCCCTGCCTAAAAGGCCACCTGAATCTGCCTAGGGCACGTCTTGCCAGTTGCTGGATCTTTGTGCTCAGTCCAGTCGTCCTTCGCAAGGACCGCTGGCTTTTCCCAAGTCGTTTCTTTGGTGGCTTTGTTGCCTTGGTAGCCCAGTAAACCCTAAACCCTAAACCCTAAACTCTAAACCCTAAACCCTAAACCCTAGACCCTAGACCCTAGACCCTAGACCCTAAACCCTAAACCCGAAACCCTACCACCAAGTTGCAGTAGTACAGCCGGCCAGTTGCCGAGTCCTTGTACTCTGTCCAATCATCTTTCTCTAGCACTGCCGGCTTCAGCAAGCTCGTCTCCTGTGTGGGTTTAAGGTTTAGGGTTTAGGGTTTAGGGTTTAAGGTTTAGGGTTTAGGGTTCAGGCTTTAGGGTCTAAGGTTTAAGGTTTAGGGTCTCCTGTGTGCGCGTGTTGAAGTAGAACAGCTTCTTCGTGTTGGGGTCCGTGTGCTCGACCCAGTCAGCCTTGGCAAGCACGGCTGGCCTGTCCCAAGTGGTTTCGCCAGTGTGCTTGTGGCCATAGTACCTTGATAGCCCAGTAACCATACCACTATAAGGGTACACCCTACTTGGAGTTGCCTAAACCCTAAACCCTAAACCCTGAACCCTGGACCCTGGACCCTAAACCAAGAACCAAGAACCAACAAAAGACGTGCAAAGGGGTACCTACAAGGCTGCCGAGGCGCGACTTCCCAGTTGCCGAGTCCTTGTACTCAATCCAGTCATCTTTCGCAAGAACTGCTGGCCGCTCCCAGGTGGTCTCTTGGGTAAACTTGTTGAAGTAAAATGTCTTCTTAGAACCCTCATCTTTGTGCTCAGACCAGTCATCCTTCGCAAGTACCTCTGGCCTGTGCCAGACAGTTTCTTGGGTGAACTTGTTGTGGTAGTACGTCTTCCCACTGGCCGGGTCTTTGAGCTCAACCCAATCACGCTTCTGAAGAGCAGCAGGCCTCTCCCACGTAGTTTCATTGTTGAGCTTGCTGAAGTAGTAGGTCTTTCCAGTTGCAGGATCTTTGTGCTCCGCCCACTCACCGGCCATGTGTTAAAGCACAGTGGACTCAACGTTATCTAGAGGCACCTTTTAGTGTTGCTTCACGGCTTTGGTGGTGGTGGTGCTGCTGCTGTTGCTGTGGTGGTGGTGGTGGTGGTGATGATGATGGTGATGGTGATGGTGATGGCGGTGTCGGTAGTGTCGATGGTGTTGCTGGCGGTGATAGTTCGGTGTCTTGCTACTTGTGTTAACTCTTTGCTCAATTTGTTCTCTCGCGCTCTTGTTGTTATGTAGGCGCCTGTGTGCCTGTCTGCCTGGCTTCTGTATGCATGGCTACCTATCTACCTGCCATCTGTCTGGCCGCCTGCATATCCGTCTGGCAGCTGCTTGCCTGCCTGCCTGGGCGAGAAGCAAGACCCGAAACCCGAAACCCGAAACCCGAAACCCTAAACCCTAAACCCTAAACCCTAAACCCTAAACCCTAAACCTAAACCCTAAACCCTAAGCCCTACCCAAGATGAATAGACCCCTTTCTTAGGCCCTGAAGGAGCCTCGCAGAGTATCCGAGAAAACCGACCCCAAAAACCCTCAAACCCAAATCAAGGCCTTAGGTTTTAGGGTTCAGGGTTTAGGGTTTAGGGTTTAGGGTTTAGGGTTTAGGGTTTAGGGTTTAGGGTTTAGGGTTTAGGGTTTAGGGTTTAGGGTTTAGGGTTTAGGGTTTAGGGTTTAGGGTTTAGGGTGCTCACTTGGCTGCACTTGCGGTCCCTAATCCTGTAAGCTTCCGTCACCTTGTCAAGAAACCCCCTAGACCCTAAACCCTAAATCCTAAACCCGAAACCCTAAACCCTACACCCTAAACCCTAAAACCCCAAACCCTAAACCCTTAAACCGTAAACCCAGAACCCTCAACCCTAAACCTTTACACCCTTAAACCCTTAAACCGCGGGAGAAGGCCTGGCATAGACCAAGTCCCTCGCGCTCTGGCCTTCGTAGGGAACTTGGGAATGGGGTTTAGGGTTTAGGTTTAGGGGTTAAGGGTTTAGGGTGTATGGTGAAGGATGTAGTTTTTCGGGTTCAGGGCTTAGAGTTTAGGGGTTTTGGGGTTTGAGGGTTTTAGGGTTTTCGGGTTTCAGGGTTTAGCTCGGGTTTTAGGGTTTTAGGGTTCTGGGGTACCGGGAAAAGGTTGGGAGTATGGGGGCTTAGGGTTTTGGATGTTGGGGTTTGAGTGCGGATTCGGCGAGCGTTTCGAGTTCTATCTTATGCGAGCTTAAGCCAACACCGTGGAGCACACAGTTGCTGACGAAGCTTAGCCGTTTCGGCCAACCCCCAAACCCTAAACCCCAAATCCTAAACCCTAAGCCCTGAACCCTAAACCCTAAACCCTAAACCCTATACCTTCTGCCCCAAACCCCAAGATCCAGTGCCCCAGTTTCGCCTGTTGATGTCCCGGATATGCAATCCGGCTATGGATAAAAACAGAGTGACCATAGCCGTCTGTAACACTTGTTCAGGCTGGAGTTCATCGGGCACTGGGCTTAACCTTTCGGCCTCTATGATAGAGACCTCAATGTGACCCCACCCTGTGATGGTGAGAATGCCGGGTCCCACTTCCCTTGCTTGGAGGTTCATGGGACTTAAGAACCACTTATAACTGGGCTTATAACCCTACTTATAATTGGGATAAACCCTATAAGGCCTCTTAGGGGTATTATAAGTAGGGTTATAAGTACAGTTATAAGTGGTTAGTAAGTACCATGAACCTTCAAGTGCTCTTCCGGTTAGGGCTGTGGGGACACGTGCCCCGAGGGAAACCTCGAGCCCGTGCCCGGACCGCTGCCGAGGGCCATCATCGAGGTCATCTTCCAGACCACGTACTCATCATGGTGGGGTTTTAGGGTTTAGGGTTTAGGGTTTAGGGTTCAGGTTCAGGGTTCAGGGTTTAGGGTTTAGGGTTTAGGGTTTAGGGTTTAGGGTTTAGGGTTTAGGGTGTGATACGTGACCCCACCCCCCCCCCCCCCATCGCATTGGAGCACATTGTTGGGGTAGTCGGCCTTCGGGCAGGACCTCCCTCGTCATCTATACGTCAGGCGACAATGAGAAACTAGACCCAAGCCCAAAACGGGTCCTAAGATAGAAGAAAGTAGGGTTTCTATAATAGGAATTACTATGACGGTTTGGGTAAGTGTCCCCCATAGGGGTACTTAGGACCCTTTGGGAAGAGTAACTTAGTTGTAGAGTAACCTGAGGGAATTGCAGGCCAACCTTTGGGATTTTAAAGGGATTCGAATACCCCGAAAAAGGTTAAAGGTTACCTACTCTACTACTAAGGTAACCTAGGAAAACAAAAGGGTGCCCTGTTTGGTTTCAAGGGGCTTATAAGGAGAACCTAAACACTAAAAATAGAAAACAAGGCTTGCTCTGGGTCCCAGAAAACAATAGCGCGATTAGAAAGTCAGGAAACAGCGAGGGCGGAGCGAAAGCGGGGGTGGGGCTACACAAATTGGTGCCCGCTCCTGGGTTCCTTTAGCACCAGCGCACCCCCTCAATGAGACACCCCAAACCCTAAACCCTAAACCCTAAACCCTAAACCCCTAAGCCCTACCACGACCGGCGCTCAGAGGCCTTGTTCTGTGAGTTGAGGCTAGGATGCGCAAGGAAACATAGCAAAGGGGGCCCGAAATGGGGCCAGTAAACCCGAAACCCCAAACTTCCCTGAAATCCATACTAGGTTACTAGGTTGGCCCCTGAAACCCTCTGAAAAGTACTCCTGAATATGATCCTCTTCAACCCAGTAAGGGCACGTAGAAAATATCCCAAGGACCTACCCGGCCTAGAAACCTCCTCATATACGGGTGGGAAAATTACTAATGGTATTCTCTCATGGTCAGGCCCTGTATCAACATACTACCTAAACCCTAAACCCTAAACCCAAAAACCTAAACCCTAAACCTGAAACTCTAAACCCCAAACCCTATGTTTGCTTGAGGTCTCTGCTGAGCTCCAGCGTCTCGGCGGTGGCTGCCGACAGCCTGTGAGCCATGGGGGCAAGGGGGTTCAGGGCTTAGGGTTTAAAGTTAGGGTTCAGGGTTTAGGGTTTAGGGTTTAGGGGGTGCGTGCCCCCCCCTCGACTTAGGGTTTAGGGTTTAGGGTTTAGGGTTTCGGGTTTAGGGTTTAGGGTTTAGGGTTTCGGCGGCAGTCAAACCCAAGTCTAGGCTCTTATCTTGAATGTCGTCAATGGCTGTAGCCTTGCGCTTACCTGACATGTCATCTGCATGGCTGTCTCTTGCGCCCGCATCTGTGAATGCATCGCCGCGGGCAGCGTTACAGTCTGGGCCGCCTGTGTCCGCTGCGGAAGGCACGCGCACATTGAGGCTTGCTGGTGGTGGTGGAATCATGAAAGCACGGATGAGTCGAGGTTGCCTTCCCTGCTCAAGTCCCTCTGTCAAGTTGATACGCAACAAACCCGAATCCGAAGTCCGAAAGAGGCGAATCTCAAGGGCCTTCTGTGGGCCCGAGGGCAACCGAATGCTACAGGTGCCATGGAACAAATCCTTGGCCATCCCCAACTGAGCTTGGGCATGGAGTGAAAGCAAGAGCGGGGCGCTACCCTGTATCTCATGCGAATCAAGTACTCCACTCAACCTTTCCTTAGGGGGACGTCGCCACCCTCGACCGAATCCATGGGCAAGAGGGAAAATGGAAAGGTTCGGGTTCCCTGTTAGGTAGTGGAACCACTCAAGCCCTTAAAGGTCTTGGACATCTCCTTTGCAAACCTCGTTGAGGGTTTAGGGTACCTATCTTGATATGCCAGATCCCGAGACGCAGTAGGTTTAGGGTCTTGAGGCTTGAGGGCTGATCCTCATGATGGGCCCTTATGGCACCCTAAACCATAGACGGAGTATGTTCTCACAAAAGCTACAAGAAAGGCTTAGGGTTTAGGGTTTAGGGTTTAGGGTTTAGGGTTTAGGGTTTAGGGTTTAGGGTTTAGGGTTTAGGGTTTAGGGTTTAGGGTTTAGGGTTTAGGGTTTAGGGTTTAGGGTTTAGGGTTTAGGGTTTAGTAATTCAGGGTTTAGGGATTTGAGTTTTGAAAAAAAAAAACAAAAATCAACCCTCAACGCTGTATCCCACCACTCCAAAAGGGCCCCGAACTCACAGAGGGCGCGACTCGTGAACGCGATTGAGAAGATCTTGCTGCGACGGGCCGCCACCTGGTGCTTAAGGTTTAGGGCTTCGCAAACACTAATGGTTTAGGGTTTAGGGTTTAGGGTTTAGGGTTTAGGGTTTAGGGTTTAGGGTTTAGGGCTTAGGGCAGAAGACCTTGGGCCCTTCTCGCACTCACGGGGGTTGCTCTGGATTTTAGGCGCCTTGTCATCGCAAGCCCCTGAGGTTCGAGGGCTCAGGGCGTTTAGGCTCGAAACTCTTCCGTATCGTAAACCCTCTTACACCCCCTCAACCCTAAACCCTAAACCCTGAACCCTCAACCCTAAACCCTAAACCCTAAACCCTAAACCCTAAACCCTAAACCCTAAACCCTAAGCCCGAGCGCGCGGGCCTGCCCGCAGCGTCTCGGCCACCAGTGCTTTACGCTCGCCTATGGCCACGGTTGAATCTCAAGCAAAGACGAGGGTTTAGGGTATGGGGTTTTGGGTCTAGGGTTTAGGGCTTTGGGTTTAAGGTTCTGGGGATTGTTTGCAAGGTCTGGCCTCTTGTTGCTTGTTTCTTGCCGCAGCTTTGGGTCTTGTATTTGAGTGGGGGGGGGGCCAAGTTGTAATTGCGTTCCGGGACTTTCCGAAATTTGAAACCCTAAGGCCGAAGCCCTAAGCCCTGAACCCTAAACCCCCAACCCTCAACCCTCAACCCTCTACCCTAAACCCTAAACCCTAAACCCTAAACCCTAAACCCTAAGCCCTAAGCCCTAAACCTTAAACTCTAAGCCTGAGCACCTCCTGCACCACCCGTCGAATCGTCTTCTGTGTCTTCTTCCCTACATGAAGGTTTACGATCCCATAGGGTTTAGGGATTAGGGTTTAGGGTTTAGGGCAATAACA